TTTTTCCCTCTCAAGGCAAAGAAGATACTGAACTATCATTCCCTGAATAAAGTGCCTTGGGATATGTAATTATTTTTTTTTTCTGGTTAATCAAAAGCAGTCAAAAGATTTGATCCTGTTTTCATTTTACACAACTGCAGTACTTCTGTGGAGTCTTAATAGAAATAGAACCAGACTGGCATCTTTTGCAGAATCAAAAGCCAAGGAAGCTTGGCCTATCTTTAAAACTTCCATTTAATTAAATATTCAATAAGAAAAGTGTGCAATGTAAGTTAACACACTAAGTGCTAGACTCACTGTTACGTTATTAAACAATGTAATATAGAGGGCATTTGTCTATTCTCTGTTTTCTGCTTCACAGATTCAAAACCAAACAAACAAATAGTTGATTATTATGGAAACAGAAGAACAGTGCAGCATCCAGTTGCCCTATTTAGTATAGGCCCTGCTGTGTTAATTCCCCTCTAATCCTTGCTTTAAACACAATTGATTGTGTCTCATTTCTGTCAGGTTACATTCCAGATAAACACTCCCTGATCCTACATGTTTCAAAAAGCTTTTTATTTAACGTAACTTCGCCAATCTAGTAAAAGGTATAGCTAATTATGCCTGCCTTTTGGATTAGTGTTGCCAGTTTTGGCTAATTTACTTCCTTTGTTATCTTTCCTATGTGTAGCACTTCCTTGTTGCATTAATAAAAGAAGGATGAAGTATGTGTAGCCCAGTAGATTCTTGATTCCTAGTGAGGAATTTTGATTATATTATTCCTTAATAACCTTAGGAAAGGAACAGCTCACATGATGCCATCCTCCTATTGCCAGCTGGTGCATGTTTATATGAATGACAGGAGCCAGATGCAGACCACTGACTGTTTTTAACTAAAGCTATGGGATTCAGCCTAATTCGGGATAATACCTGAGTAAGTTCCATCCAGTGTGGTGGGGTTGGTACTTTAGGAAAATACGTGCACGAGCTTTGTTCCTCCAGGTAGCACACTCCTGCTGCCCATCTTGGAGAGCTGCTCTTCTTCCTCCTCCCAATCACACAGATTCGAGAGTGATCCCTACCTTCTGGCTCTGCTCTCAAACCACTTTCAGAACTGGTTAATAGCTTATTTATTCATTTATTTGCACAAATTTTGCTCTGACCTGTCTAATTCCACCTCCCAGCTAGTAAGCTAAAATGTTCCTGTTCAGAATCCAGAGAGAAAATAAGCGGTACATCTTGATCCAATTGATGGCTTAGCTTTGGTTTAGAAATAATTGTATTTCATGCTACTTTAATGTCATGTAATTTTTTTTTTTTTTAGGTGCAAGGCCTGACAATGGCACTGAATGAGCATTGCCTTCAAGCCTCCTTCCTGTAAATGATAGGACCAAACAAGACGGTGTGATGAACATGCCACTGCATCAAATCTCTGTCATTCCAGCTCAGGATGTTACCTCTTCCAGAGTCTCCAGGAGCAAGACCAAAGAAAAAGAGGAACAGGTACTGTCAGATACGTGCTTGATTTTTGCAGAAAGTCGTCTAAGTATGAAATGATAAGGGTTGTCAACTCAAACCTGATTCTGTTCCAAAGCCCCAGCTCCTTGCATGGCTGCTGCTTTTAGTGAAGATGATTGTTAATAAATTATTGCTTTATTCTTATATTTGCTATTTTGAAGCAGCTGGCTGCAAAATTCTAGAAATTGTTCTTGAGTAACTTCTGCAAAGTGCAATCTACAACCTTCTGTTTTGCATAAGAACTCAAGGCAGATGGGGATTTTGGATAATGACTCTAGTACTGTTGTCACAGAAGCTGTTAGCAGGTGTATTTTACTTTTTTTAAAGGAAAATAGTTTGGGGTGTGAACTCCTATATGCATCCTGTTTTCCTTTGTGATTGGCAGCATCTGGTAGCCGTGTTGTTGTTCATATTGACTGGATATTACAAGGAAGGAAATGTATACTTACTATGCTGGTTTCTGGAGATAAGATTTGGGAGCATAGATGTTAATGGAATAATTTTGAGGTCTTGTGTTGCTGGTGGAAACCATAATGCAAAAATATCTGAAGTATATAATGATGATAAGTCTAGCAGAATCTATTAAAAATAGTTAAGTAGCCTATTAAATAACATACTGTGTCTAGTCTTCATGTGTCAACTTTATTTACCTCTGCACTGTGTCTTTGATCCAGCTCAAAGACCTTAGTGTACATCATGCTTTAGTGTACATTCTACTGCATTGAATTTTACATTATCTGTCAGTTCCACAGAAACAACTTTCTGGGGTTTTTTAGCTTTAACATAAAACAGGTCAAGGGAACATTCATGTTGTGGTACAACTACAGGTCTTGTTTTGTGGACTGCTCAACAGTGTTTAATTCTGAGGAGATCTAGGGTGATACTGATTACATGTAGGGTCTGGCTTAAGTATAAGGGACTAGAAAGGTGCTGTCATGTTGCAGAAGGGGATTCACTAAGACTAACTTTAGGTAAGGTAAAAAAAGTTGCTTCTGACGTGTCTTGGTTTGAGCTAAACGGAACCAATCCTGTTCGGTGATTTTCCTCTTCAGCTCCATCTCTTCTGAGAGACTGTACTTTTTGAAGTTAACAGCATGTTTTTGCAGACAGTGCGGGCTATGAGAAGTGATAATGGCCTGATGTTTATAGTTACTGTTAGGGACTCTTGCTTATACTTGTGACCAAGGGCACTGCTAAATCTTACGTAACACATTAGGGGTGCCAGGAAGTCAAAGGGTCACAAGGAAGTAAAACGTTACACCTCCAAGAAGGGATGGACAAGACAGGTGACCAACAGAAGTATTCTGTTCATGAAATCCATTCATGAATGTGTGACATATCATATTCAGCATAAAGTTGAAGGCTCACAGGTGTTAAGCTGTCCTGCTCTTCTGCTTCTCCAGTGGGCAGCATCTGAACAGGACTCTGTTCTTCTGCCTTTGATCCTGATTCTGAGTTCCCAAATCCAGCTCCTGTGTCCAGTTTCCCTCTGTGGCTGAGCCTTGGGCGTCCCTGCTGCCTGCTTGCTCTGCAGCATCAGATTGCTATCAAGGGGGAGCTAGATTTGATACTGATTTGTATATAGTAAATTATTATTATTGTTGTTGTTGCTGTTGTTGTTATTAAAAGCTGTTTTAGTTTTCTTTTCCAGTCTGTAAGTCTCTCTGC